ATTAACTAATATCAGATTATGATTTATTTTGTCTTACTGAAACCTGGCTGGGTGATGGAGAATATGTTAGCCTAAATGAATCCACCCCTCCCAGTCATATTAATACTCACATTCCTCGAGGCACAGGCCGAGGAGGTGGAGTTGCAGCTATCTTCGACTCTAGCCTACTAATCAGCTCTAAACCTAAACTAAACTATAACTCATTTGAAAGCCTTGTTCTTAGTCTTTCGCACCCAAGTTGGAAATCACTGCAACCAATTCTTTTCGTTACAGTGTACCGAGCACCTGGTCCGTACTCTGAATTCTTATCTGAATTTGCAGAGTTTTTGTCAACTTTAGTGCTTAAAAAGGACAAAGTTATTATTGTAGGGGATTTTAATATTCATGTGGACGTTGAGAATGACAGCTTCAGTACTGCGTTTATCTCTCTGTTAGATTCCATTGGCTTCTCTCAGAGTGTTCACGAACCGACTCACTGTTTTAACCACACCCTCGACCTTGTTTTGGTATATGGTATTGAAATTGAACATTTAATAGTGTTCCCACAGAATCCCTCTTTATCTGACCACTGTTTGATAACTTTTGAGTTTGTATTGCTGAAGTACACGCCATTGGGCAAAAATTGATGTCTGTCTGATAGTGCTGTAGCTAAATTTAAGGATGCGATTCCATCAGCTCTAAATTCATTATCAAGTCACAAAGTAACGGAGGACTCCTATACTAATTTCAGTCACTCCCAAATTGATCATCTTGTTGATAGTGCTGCAGGCTCGCTGCGAATGACACTCGACTCTGTAGCCCCTCTAAAAAAGAAAATAATAAAACAAAGACTGTTAGCTCCATGGTATAATACTGAAACTCGCAAATTAAAGCAAATATCGCGGAAACTTGAGAGGAATTGGCGTTCCACCAAACTGGAAAATTCTCATTTAATTTGGCAAGATAGTCTTCAAACTTACAGGAAGGTCCTCCGTAATGCCAGAGCAGCGTACTACTTGTCATTAATAGAGGAAAATAGGAACAACCCCAGGTTTCTTTTCAGCACTGTAGCCAGGCTGACAGAGAGTCACAGCTCTATTGAGCCAAGTATTCTGTTGTGAATTATTTTGGAGCATTATAGCCTAAATTGTTATCATTAATTACTAGAGCAATGGCGGTCTACATTTTCATCATTTAAAGTGTTATTTTATAGTGTAAAGTTAGGATCACAGTGTTAAAACTCTATAGCTCTGAGTGTATGTGCTCCTTTCTGTATTTAACTTCCCAGGCTCAGCAGTAGCACGTGTGTGTGTGAGCAAGTTCGTGTGCTTTGGGAGAAAAGGGAGGGAGCACAGTAAGATAGCATCAAAAACACTTACAAAGGAAAATATAGAAGCAGATTTTGTGAAAATTGTATTATAAAACATACATCAATATAGTCCATCACAGTAAGAATGTCCTGTTTCTAGCACAGAGCACAAACAACACCAGTTTATTCCACAAAAGTCAGGTTATGGATGAAATGGCATGATCAAGTGGAATGCATGCAAAGGACACAGAGAGGAGGAGCAGGCAGTCAGGGAATTTCCCAGATTCAGGTGCAGTAGGAAAGAGAGCCAAGAGATGATGTGAAGCCAAGAAACAGAGCTATAAAAGGAGGGCCAAAAGGATGTGAAAGTCAGTCGTTACATGGTTTTCATGTCGACTGGGGTCTCTGTTCTGGTAACAGAATGGGGCTCTATTTTGCACCGATCTCTGACACACTCTTTTGTAACTTTTGTATTCTAATTGGTGTCTGTTTTTGTTGATAATAAAAATGTTGGTAAAAGTTCAAGCTTTCTTATCTGGCCCAAGTCTTGAATTTTTACACGACATTAATTATTATGACTTCATGAGCTTCTTTAATGATAAGATTCTAACTATTAGAAACAAAATTCACCAAGACCTGCCCTTAACTGTCACCAACTTATCTCTAAACTCAGGAACCTTAGAAACAGCTGTAGAACCAGATATATGTTTAGACTGTTTTGCCTCCCTCAACCTTTACCAACTAACTTCAATAATTTCTTCATCTAAACCATCAACCTGCCTCTTAGACCCCATCCCGACTAGGTTGTTTAAAGATGTTTTACCCTTAGTCAGCACTTCTGTACTAGATATGATCAATCTGTCTTTATCAACAGGCTATGTACCACAGTACTTTAAAGTAGCTGTAATTAAACCTATTCTGAAAAAGCCCAAACTTGATCCGGATGTTTTAGCCAACTATAGACCTATATCTAACCTTCCATTTCTCTCTAAGGTCCTGGAGAAAGCAGTTGCTAAACAGCTGTGTGACTTTCTACAGAGCAATAGTTTATTTGAGGATTTTCAGTCAGGATTTAGAGCTCATCATAGCACAGAGACAGCACTGGTGAAAATTACTAACAACCTCCTTATTGCATCAGACAAAGGACTTGTCTCTGTACTGGTTTTATTAGATCTTAGTGCTACTGTTGGAGCTATATTTCTATTTTTGTTTATTTTGGGCTTAAGTTAATTTATAGTCAAAGGTTGGTTATCAAACACAGGCCATTCATATGAACTTCCAATTAAACCACCTGATAATCCAACTGATATTGGGCCTGAGGACAGTGTATCCAATAAAGGTTCTGAAACACGTTCAAAGGCTTGTTCTAAACTGTCAAAGACTTCATCCAGTGCATCTGCAAAAATATTAGTGTAAGCAGAAAGAGCAGCGTTACAGGAACACATGGCTGCTCTAAAACAAAGGCATATTTTGGAGGATCAGGAGGAACAAATACAACTTGAACAAGAGGACTTACGGAAGAAACGGGAACATTTAAGGAGAGAAAAGGAACAACTTGCTCTGGAGGCAGAATTAAAGGTGACAAATGCAAAATTGGAGGTTCTGGAAGTAAGCTCAAAGTGTGGCTCTAAAGTGTCAAGATGTGCATCTCAAACATCAGATGGCATGAATTCTTACTTGACAAGGTCAGAAACTCAAGGGATATATGAACTAAATCCGAATGCTCAACGCTATGTGCCCACCAATAAAAGCTCTGAACCTACCTCCAGTCGCTTGTTAAATTCTGTCCCTGTTGGTGTTCAACCCAAACATGTTGTAAAACAACTACCCATACCTAATGTCATTCCTGTGTTTCAAAGGCAAGATACACAATCACTGGGTTTGCAAGATGTTTGTGACGATAATCCATCCATCAATTCTCCGGACATTTTGAACATCATGCAGCGTCAAAATGAAATAACCGCGCTGTTGGTCCAACAAAACACAGCTTCTGCTCTGCCTATGAGAAATATACCTGTATTTGATGGAGATCCCCTGTATTTCAAATCTTTTCTCAGAGCCTTTAAAAATTGCATTGAGGATAAAACTCAAAATTTCAGTGATTGTCTGTACTTCCTAGAACAGTACACTAGAGGGAAACCAAAAGACATTGTAAGAAGTTGTCAGCATATGCCCTCTGAACCAGGTTATCAAAGAGCAAAAACGCTTTTGATTGAACATTTTGGCAGTGAACATAAAATCTCTTTGGCTTACATGGACAAAATCAACAACTGGCCCTCAATAAAACCTGAGGATGTTAATGCTTTGCAGTCATTTGCTTTGTTCATTCGAGGTTGCTCCAATATAGTACATCATATAAAGTATATGAAGGAGTTGGACATGCCAGCTAACCTCAGGACGATCCTAATGAAACTCCCATATAAGTTGAGGGAAAAGTGGAGAAATGTGGCATGTGACATATTGGAACAAACTGGAAGCAGAGCAGTGTTTGTTGATTTTGTGAATTTCATTGAAAAACAAGTCAAAATTGTTTCAGATCCTCTGTTTGGAAATATTAATGATGTTTCTCCAGCCAGCTATACAAAGCTATACATGCAAGTTAAGCAGAAAAGGAAAAGTGGTACATTTGCCACCAGCATTAATGCACCAAAGGATGGACATAAAGAAATGGAAAACTTGACAGCTCACAGTAACCAGCTCAAATGTATATTCTGCTATCTTACCAATCACACTCTGGAAAAATGCTTTCAGTTTAGAAGAAAGACACAACAGGACAAGATTCAGTTTCTAAAGGAGAAGGGCGTTTGTTTTGGGTGCTTGAAACATGGACACACAAGCAAAGACTGCAGGAGTCGTTTGGATTGTGAAGTGTGTCACAGGAAGCACCCATCTGTCCTGCATGTGGAGAAGGAGGATACTACAAGGATAACCACCAAAGAAACTGTGAGCACTGTATCCGGGAAGCAGCAGACGTGTGGTCATATTGGGGCTGGTGAAGAGGATACTGCTGTTTTTTCCATTGTGGCTGTGCAGGTGAAAAGTCAGAAAAGTAATAAAGTTGTGCATACTTATGCTTTCCTGGATCCTGGGAGCTCTGGTACCTTCTGTACTACAAGTATGGCTGAAAGGCTGGGAGTATCAGGAAAAAACTATAATGTAGTGTTAAGGACAATGGGGCAGACTAAAACCATTAACACTACTATAGTAACCGGTCTGGAGGTGTCTGGATTTGACACCGATGACTTTATTGAGCTACCATCTGTTCTGACACAAACAAAAATGCCTGTATCTAAAGTCAATGTGCCATGTCAGGATGATGTTGCCAAATGGGCGTATTTGAGCAGCATTAGACTACATGAAGTAGATGCAGATGTAGACTTGCTCATTGGAACCGACTCTCCTAAAGTTTTGGAGCCATGGGAACTGATAAACAGTCAATGTGGTGGACCGTATGCAGTGAGGACCAGAGTTGGCTGGGTCATAAATGGGCCTCTTCGTGCTGGAGACTCTGAAGGTACTGGTGTCAAATCAGGATGCATTGTTGTAACTGCTAATCACATATCTGTGGAACACTTGGAAAGTATGTTGATGCAACAGTATAATCATGACTTTACTGAAAGAACAAGTGATGAACAACTTGAGATGTCAAGAGAAGATATTAAATTCATGAAAATCGTGGAGAGTACGACAGTGCTTAACAATGAACATTATTACATTGACTTACCTTTCAGAGTTGATGATCCTGTTTTGCCAAATAATCGCTGCATTGCACTACAAAGACTCCAAGGCCTGAAGAGGAGATTTAATAGAGATATTTCATTCAAGGCTCAATACGCTGATTTCCTTAACAACATGTTAGAGCAAGGATATGCAGAAAAGGTTCCCACAAATGAGCCCACTCTGGAACAAGGAAAGGTGTGGTACATTCCCCACCATGGTGTACGTCATCCAACCAAAGGAAAGTTGCGTGTTGTGTTTGATTGCGGCTGTACTTACAAAGGTATATCATTGAACAGTCAGCTCCTGCAGGGCCCAGACTTCACTAACACGCTAATTGGTGTCCTCCTTCGGTTTAGAGAAGAGCCCATCGCTGTTATGGCTGATATCAACGCCATGTTCCATCAGGTCCGGGTTCCATATAAGCACGTTAACTTCTTGTGCTTTCTATGGTGGCCCAATGGAGACGCTACAGTGGAGCCAGAGGAATACAGGATGTGCGTGCATTTGTTTGGAGCTGTATCCTCTCCAAGCTGCTCAAACTATGCACTGAGGAGAACTGCTGAGGATAATGCACTGCAATATTCACCCGATGTCCTTCGTACAGTTAAGACAAATTTCTACGTGGATGACTGTCTTAAGTCCACTGTGACAGAGGAAGATGCAGTGAAGCTCATACATGGATTAACATCTCTCAAAAGGCATCTCTCAAAAGGCAGCTTTCATCTCCAAAAGTGGGTCACAAATAACTCAAATGTGTTTGCACTTATTCCTAGCAAAATCAGAGCAGTGGGTTTGGAGAACATGGATTTGGACAGGGACCAACTCCCTGTGGAAAGAGCTCTGGGGATGCAATGGTGTGTTCAAGGAGATACGTTCAGCTTCAGGACTGCAGTGCAGGAACGTCCACACACTAGGAGGGGCATCCTTTCTGTGGTGAGCTCTCTTTACGACCCGCTGGGTTTTCTGTCTCCTTTCATAATCCCTGCCAAGTTACTGTTACAGGAGTTGTGCAGAATGAACTTCAAATGGGATGAGCCAGTTCGCCATGATGTCTCCGAACATTGGTCTGAGTGGCTCTCTGAACTTCAGCATATGAGTGGATTTAAAGTGGAACGGTGCATTAAACCCAAAAACTTTGGAACACAAGTGAAAGCAGAACTGCATCATTTTTCAGATGCTAGTCAAACAGGGTATGGCACTGTTTCATACTTGAGATTGGAGAGCACTGACAACGTGCATGTTTCATTTATCACAGGCAAGGCTCGTGTCGCTCCTCTAAAGCAACTGACTATTCCACGCCTTGAGCTTGCTGCAGCTGTGCTTGCTGTTCGAGTGAACACAATGCTGTTGAAAGAGCTACAGTTGCCATTGCAAAGGTCATTCTTTTGGACCGATAGCACTACTGTTCTCAAGTACATCTTTAATGAAACAAAGCGCTTTCACACATATGTTGCCAATCGTGTCAGCACCATAAGAGAATCCACAGACAAAGATCAGTGGAGGTATGTAAACACCAAAGACAATCCTGCAGATGAAGCTTCTCGAGGACTAAGAGCTCAGGAGTTTGGGAAAGGAAAATGGCTAAAAGGACCAGACTTTTTGCACTTGCCCCCACCAGGTGGCCGAAACTCGACTTGGACTCCTCTTCCATTCCATCTGATGATGCAGAGGTGAAAAGGGAACTTAAGGTGAATGTTGTTACAATACACAGTGACAATCCTCTCAGTCAGCTCATTCACTATTTTTCATCCTGGAGAAAGCTTAAAACATCAGTGGCCTGGCTGTTGGAGCTGAAAGAAAGACTTTTACTTTTAAGCTGAAAGAGAAAAGAATATGTGGTCAACCAGAATGAGAATGTGGAAAAGGAGATTAAAAAATTCAAAGCCGCACTTGGAAAATCCAGCTTGACACCAGAGCGCTTGGAGGAAGCCGAAAAGACAATAATTCAGTTTGCACAAAACCAAAGATTCAGTACTGAAATTTCCTCACTAGAACATGACCCAAAGACTGTTTTTAAAGACAGTCCTCTGTATCGCCTCGACCCCTTCATCGAAGATGGCATCCTCAGAGTTGGTGGACGTCTGTTTAAATCTGCACTGCCGTGGGAGGTAAAGCATCCTGTGATTCTGTCAAAGGATTTGCATGTTTCCCAGCTCATATTGCGTTACATCCATTGCCAACTTGGACATGCTGGACGCAATCACATGCTGCACAGACTGAGACAGAAGTATTGGATCATAAATGCCAACTCTGCGGCCAGGAAGATTCTCTCACAATGTACAGTGTGCAGAAGGTACAGAGGAAAGCTTGGAGAACAGAAGATGTCCGACTTACCAGAGGAACGAGTTGTGCCTGATAACGCACCCTTTACAAATGCGGGAGTGGACTATTTTGGACCATTGGAGGTGAGGAGAGGTAGAACTGTGCTGAAGCGATATGGAGTGATATTTATGTTAGTTATGTTCATTTGCATAAGTAGGTCAAGGTGGGAGGTACTTCAGGCATGAGGGTATATGTTTTTTTACCAGCATGAGAGAGGCAGCAGAAATGTCTGTGAGCTTGCTTATGTGTGTGAATAAACCTCCTCAAACTCAATCTTGTTATGGACATCACTTTGCTTTGGTACCTCTGAACCTGCGTAAAGCCTAACCATGACGTAGCCTCAAGTGGCCATTTGAGAAGTTTGTTATTATTTGTTTTTGTTTAAGTTTATGGACAAATAGCCACTACAGCTACATTTGATACCATTGACCATCAGATCCTATTGCAGAGACTGGAACATTTCATGGGCATTAAAGGAACCGCTCTAAGCTGGTTTAAGTCCTATTTATCAGATCGATTTCAGTTTGTACATGTTAACGATGAGTCCTCCATGCACGCCAAAGTTAGTCATGGAGTTCCACAAGGATCTGTCCTCGGACCAATGTCCTCTTCACTTTATATATGCTTCCTTTAGGCAATATTATCAGATATAGTTTCCCTTGATGGCATCGCCCTGGCCTCCAGCACCACTGTGAGGAATCTTGGAGTTATCTTTGATCAGGACATGTCGTTTAAGTCTCACATTAAGCAAATTTCAAGGGCCGCCTTTTTTCACCTACGTAATATTGCGAAAATCCTGAACACCCTGTCTAAAAATGATGCAGAAAAACTAGTCCATGCATTTGTTACTTCAAGGCTGGATTACTGCAATTCCTTATTATCAGGCTGCTCGAAAAAGTCCATTAAGACTCTTCAGCTGATCCAGAATGCTGCAGCACGTGTTCTGACAGGAGCCAGGAAGAGAGATCACATTTCTCCTGTTTTAGCTTCTCTGCATTGGCTTCCAGTAAAATCCAGAATAGAATTTAAAATCATTCTTCTTACCTACAAAGCTCTTAATGGTCAGGCACCATCTTATCTTAAAGAGCTTATAATACCTTACTGCCCCACCAGGTGGGGTGGGGCTCAGGTGAGTCCTGAACCATCCCTTAGTTATGCTGCTATAGGCCTAGACTGCTGGGGGATTTCCTATGATGCACTGAGCTCCTCTCTCCTCTACTTTCTCTCCCTCTGTATGCAACCTCATCCCATTATTGCATGTTACTAACACAACTTCTCCCCTTTCCAGTAGTCTTGTGCTTTCTCGTCCCTCTCCTCTCTCCTCCTATCACTTCCTGCAGGTGTTTCTGGCTCTGGAGCTGTGGAGTCTGGATCTGTGGCTGCGGGTCACCTGCTGCCCCCGTGTTCCTGCTCGACACCCTCTGCTACAACAACTATTGTTACTAGTCCTATTGTTATTATTGTTATTATAATCATTAACATTACGATTGTTATCATTAACACTACTATACATATCTATAACATTTTTCATTTAGTCTATAGCAACATCACCTTTACTGTCTGTACCTCTGTGTGGATATTGTGTAGGCTGCCTCCCTCCCCTCTCTGTCCTTCCATCCCTCTCTTTTTCTCTCTGATCCTCTCCTGCCCTCTTTCTCTCTGTTCCTCTCTTGCGCTCTCTCTCTCTCTCTCTCTCCCTCCTTCACCCCCAATCGCTCAAGGCAGATGGCCGCCCACCCTGAGCCATGGTTCTGCTTGAGGTTTCTGCCTCTTAAAAGGAAGTTTTTCCTTGCCTCTGTCGCCTAGTGCTTGCTCTTCGTGGGAATTGTTGGGTTTCTGTAAATAGCATCATAGAGTATGGTCTAGACCTGCTCTTTTATGAAAAGCGCTGTGAGATAACTGTTGTTGTGATTTGGCGCTATATAAATAAAATTGAATTAAATAGAACAGTTGGAGCCTGGCTTTTTGGCATTGCTATCGAAGTTGCATGTTTGGCACCCTGTAGACCTGTGTTTGAATCTGGGTAGGGTGACTGCTCTCGCATTTGGCTGCATATGGTGTCAGAAGTGGGACGGCTTGCTGTGAGGTTATCTAAGCCGTGCCCAGAGTCCGAACCGTATGAGGGACCTCCATGTCTGATGTGTATAGTGTATTTTTCAGTAATACTGATCATATGTCATCATTTTATTGATTTTATTTTTATTTGACGGTATTTTGGTCACGGTGATGCAGTGGTTAGCACCGTCGCCTCACAGCAAGAAGGTCGTGGGTTCAAACCCCGGTTGCCCCGGCCTTTCTGTGTGGAGTTTGCATGTTCTGTCCAAAGACATGTAGACTAGGTTAATTGGTGACCCTAAATTGTCCTTAGGTGTGAGAGTGAGCATGAGTGGTTGTTCGTCTATGTGTGGCCCTGTGATGGACTGGCCCGATGCCAGCTGGGATGGGCTCCAGCCCCCCGCGACCCTGTACGCAGGATAAGTGGTTGACGATGGATGGATGGTATTTTGTTCAAGATGTGATACATGCAGCTGTACCTTTTAATGTACAGGAATTTATTTTTGTAATGTACACAAAATTAAAGTTTAGTTGTCTGTGTTGTAAAATACTTTTTTTTAACTGGTTTTTATTATGCTAAAAGGGCATTTTGCAACATATTTTTAATGCATTAATAATGCATTATTCTCATACTGAATTGTTTCATAAAGCAGCTTCCCAAGATATTAATAGTGGCTCTTGGAGTATACTAGTAATAAATTACTAATATGCTGAAATGCTAATAAATGTTCAGGGAACACATTTAAAATATATTTAAACTGTTCAAGTATAGCACAAAAGGGTATTTAAGTCAAATTTAAAAAAGTACATTTAAATTACAGTAAAGGTACTTAAAAGGTCCATTAACACAACTAAGTATTAAAATATATTGCAATTATCTTAAAGTTGACCAAGTATTTCTAAAATGACACTTTAATGATGAGATGAGAATGACACATACTTTAAGTTGTTCCAAAATAACACATTTAATATACACTTAGTATAGTACAATTAAAATATGATAAGTAGCACTTTTTTTGGATGCACTTAAGTATATTTCTTTTTCACTTGGGAACAGGGATACCATGGTCCTTAAACCAGATACTGGTAGCTTTGGCACTGTGTGCAGGTGCCAAGTCCTGTTGGAAAATGAAATCTACATCTCCATAAAGTTGGTCAGCAGCAGGAAGCATGAAGTGCTCTAAAACTTCCTGGTAGACGGCTGCGTTGACCTTGGACCTCAAAACACAGTGGACCAATACCAGCAGATGACATGGCACCCCAAACCATCACTGACTGTGGAAACTACAGTGGACTTCAAGCAACGTGGAGTCTGTGCCTCTCCTCTCTTCCTCCAGACTCTGGGACCTTGATTTCCAAAGGAAATGCAAAATTTACTTTCATCAGCGAACATAACTTTGGACCACTCAGCAGCAGTCCAGCCCTTTTTGTCTTTAGCCCAGACGAGACGCTTCTGACGCTGTGTCTTGTTCAAGAGTGGCTTGACACAAGGAATGCGACATTCTTGAAGCACTGAGCATCCTCTCCAGGGTGTGGTTATCCCTATTGCTTGTACACTTTTTTCTACCACATCTTTTTCTTCCCTTCGCCTCTCTATTAATGTGCTTGGACACAGAGCTCTGTGAACAGCCAGCCTCTTTAGCAATGACCTTTTGTGTCTTGCCCTCCTTGTGCAAGGTGTCAGTGGTCGTCTTTTGGACAGCTGTCAAGTCAGCAGTCTTCCTCCCGATTGTGTAGCCTACAGAACTAGACTGAGAGACCATTTAAAGGCCTTTGCAGGTGTTTTGAGTTAATTAGCTGATTAGTGTGTGGCACCAGGTGTCTTCAATATTGCACCTTTTCACAATATTCAAATTTTATGAGATACTGATTTTGGGGTTTTCATTAGCTTTTAAGTTATAATCATAAAAATAAAAAGGAATGAACACTTGAAATATGTCAGTCTGTGTGGAATGAATGTATACATTATACAAGTTTCACTTTTTGAACGGAATTACTGAAATAAATAAACTTTTTTATGATATTCTAATTATATGACCAGCACCTGTATAAAGCATGAGAAAATGTATTTATTTGCTATTAATAAAGTAAACTTGTACAAGTCTAAAACTCTATGTAAAGGGTGCCTTATTAGCTAGTGGTATAGTGTTCAACTTTTTATTTACATTGTATCAACGTACATTATGGTGAAACTGTCCACACAGTTCTGAATTTGCAGAGTTTTTGTCAACTTTAGTCCTTAAAACGGACAAAGTTATTATTGTAGGGGACTTTAATATTCATGTGGACGTTGAGAATGACAGCTTTAGTACTGCGTTTATCTCTCTGTTAGATTCCATTGGCTTCTCTCAGAGTGTTCATGAACCGACTCACTGTTTTAACCACACCCTCGACCTTGTTTTGGTGTATGGTATTGAAATTGAATATTTAGTGGTGTTCCCACAGAATCCCTCTTTGTCCGACCACTGTTTGATAACTTTTGAGTTTGTATTGCTGAACTACTCGCCATTGGGCAAAAATTTCTATACAAGATGTCTGTCTGATAGTGCTATAGCTAAATTTAAGGATGCGATTCCATCAGCTCTAAATACATTATCTAGTCACAAAGTAACGGAGGACTCCTATGCTAATTTCAGTCCCTCCCAAATCGATCATCTTGTTGATAGTGCTGCAGGCTCGCTGCGAATGACACTCGACTCTGTAGCCCCTCTAAAAAAGAAAATACTAAAACAAAGACGGTTAGCTCCATGGTATAATACTGAAACTCGCAAATTAAAGCAAATATCGCGGAAACTTGAGAGGAATTGGCGTTCCACCAAAGTGGAAAATTCTCGTTTAATTTGGCAAGATAGTCTTAAAACTTATAGGAAGGCCCTCCGTAATGCTAGAGCAGCGTACTACTCGTCATTAATAGAGGAAAATAGGAACAACCCAAAGTTTCTTTTCAGCACTGTAGCCAGGCTGACAGAGAGTCACAGCTCTATTGAGCCAAGTATTCCCATAGCTCTCAGTAGTTACGATTTCATGAGCTTCTTTAATGATAAAATTCTAGCTATTAGAGACAAAATTCACCAAGACCTGCCCTCAACTGGCACCGACTTATCTCTTAACTCAGGAACCTTAGAAACAGCTGTAGAACCAGATACATGTTTAGACTGTTTTGCTTCCCTCAATCTTTACCAACTAACTTCAATAATTTCTTCATCTAAACCATCAACTTGCCTCTTAGACCCCATCCCGATTAGGCTGCTTAAAGATGTTTTACCCTTAGTCAGCACCTCTATACTAGATATGATCAATCTATCTTTATCAACAGGCTATGTACCACAGTACTTTAAAGTAGCTGTAATTAAACCTCTTCTGAAAAAGCCCAAACTTGATCCGGATGTTTTAGCAAACTATAGACCTATATCTAACCTTCCATTTCTCTCTAAGGTCCTGGAGAAAGCAGTTGCTAAACAGCTGTGTGACTTTCTACAGAGCAATAGTTTATTTGAGGATTTTCAGTCAGGATTTAGAGCTCATCATAGCACAGAGACAGCACTGGTGAAAATTACTAACGACCTCCTTATTGCATCAGACAAAGGACTTGTCTCTGTACTGGTTTTATTAGATCTTAGTGCTGCATTTGATACCATTGACCATCAGATCCTATTGCAGAGACTGGAACATTTCATGGGCATTAAAGGAACCGCTCTAAGCTGGTTTAAGTCCTATTTATCAGATCGATTTCAGTTTGTACATGTTAACGATGAGTCCTCCATGCATGCCAAAGTTAGTCATGGAGTTTCTCAAGGATCTGTCCTCGGACCAATCCTCTTCACTTTATATATGCTTCCTTTAGGCAATATTATCAGGAAACATTCCATAAGCTTTCATTGTTATGCAGATGATACTCAGTTATATCTATCGATCAAGCCAGATGAAACTCATCAGTTAGCTAAACTTCAAATGTGCCTTCAGGATGTTAAAACCTGGATGACCTGTAATTTTCTCATGTTAAACTCAGATAAAACTGAAGTTATTGCTCTGGGGCCTAAGCACCTCCGTGACGCATTATCTAAAGATATAGTTTCCCTGGATGGCATCGCCCTGGCCTCCAGCACCACTGTGAGGAATCTTGGAGTTATCTTTGATCAGGACATGTCGTTTAAGTCTCACATTAAGCAAATTTCAAGGACCGCCTTTTTTCACCTACGTAATATTGCATTGAACATCCTGTCTAAAAATGATGCAGAAAAACTAGTCCATGCATTTGTTACTTCTAGGCTGGATTACTGCAATTCCTTATTATCAGGCTGCTCGAAAAAGTCCATTAAGACTCTTCAGCTGATCCAGAATGCTGCAGCACGTGTTCTGACAGGAACCAGGAAAAGAGATCACATTTCTCCTGTTTTAGCTTCTTTGCATTGGCTTCCAGTAAAATCCAGAATAGAATTTAAAATCATTCTTCTTACCTACAAAGCTCTTAATGGTTAGGCACCATCTTATCTTAAAGAGCTCATAGTACCTTACTACCCCACCAGAGCACTGCGCTCCCAGAATGCAGGGTTACTTGTGGTTCCTAGAGTCTCCAAAAGTAGACTAGGAGCCAGAGCGTTCAGCTATCAAGCTCCTCTCCTGTGGAACCAGGTTCCAGTTTGGGTTCAGGAGGCAGACACCATCTCCACATTTAAGAGTAGGCTTAAGACTTTCCTCTTTGATAAAGCTTATAGTTAGGGCTGGCTCAGGTGAGTCCTGAACCATCCCTTAGTTATGCTGCTATAGGCCTAGACTGCTGGGGGATTTCCTATGATGCACTGAGCTCCTCTCTCCTCTACTTTCTCTCCCTCTGTATGCAACCTCATCCCATTATTGCATGTTACTAACACAACTTCTCCCCTTTCTGGTAGTCTTGTGCTTTCTCGTCTCTCTCCTCTCTCCTATCACTTCCTGCAGGTTTTCTAGCTCTGGAGCTGTGGAGTCTGGATCTGTGGTTGCGGGTCACCTGCTGCCCCCGTGTTCCTGCTCGACACCCTCTGCTGCAACGACTATTGTTGCTAGTCTTATTGTTATTATTGTTATTATAATCATTAACATTATGATTGTTACCATTAACACTATTATAAATATCTGTACCATTTTTCATTTAGTCTATAGCAACATCACCTTCACTGTCTGTACCTCTGTGTGTATATTGTGTAGGCTGCCTCCCTCCCCTCTCTCTCTCCTTACATCCCTCTTTTTCTCTCTATTCCTCTCCTGCGCTCTCTCTCTCTCTCCCTCTCTCTCTCCTTCACCCCCAACCGGTCGAGGCAGATGGCCGCCCACCCTGAGCCATGGTTCTGCTCGAGGTTTCTGCCTCTTAAAAGGAAGTTTTTCCTTGCCTCTGTCGCCTAGTGCTTGCTCTTGGTGGGAACTGTTGGGCTTCTGTAAATATCATCACAGAGTACAGTCTAGACCTGCTCTTTTATGAAAAGCGCTGTGAGATAACTGTTGTTGTGATTTGGCGCTATATAAATAAAATTGAATTGAAATTGAACTGCTAGGAATACATTCCAGGTGGATACATTTTGTTATATTTTGTACATAAAAAAATCTAAGTCTAAAAATATTGAGACTAAGAAATAACAGAACAAGTTCTCCGCCGGTCATTATATCCCCCAAATTCCCATAATCAATGGAAAAGAAGGGTATGACCTCAGTGTCCTCAATAACAGCTGAAGTCCTGAAGACAGCACAGACATGAAAGTAGCCATTATTGAAATACATATGGCACCAACACAAAATCTCAACTGTGACACACTTTTTAATTGACAAACTTCAATTTAAGACATTACATGAGGCCCAAAAGTTTCCTCTTTTATTTAATAATAGAAAATATTATAATGCAAAACATTCTTGTGTCTGTTTTACAAAAGACACCATCACATTCTGTCTGCAGTAATGACATTCATCAGCTGTTTTACAATATAAGGCAACATCGTAACACACAATCGGTACTGTGAGAGCAGTAGCAGTATAAATTATCTTCAGGCTTTCAATATAAACACTCACATACGTCTCACAAATATAGAGATCCAACAAGCTGTCAGTACATTCTTAAAATAGAATAAGAATAATTTCATGAAAGACATGGTCAGTAAAATCAGTTACTGTACACTTGTTTTGTCCAAGAAGTCCATTTCACAGACGAGAATCCAGATAGCCAGCACTTAACATTTGACTGCAAACAATAAAAGGGAGTGAGAGCCCTCTGTCTGAACTCTTCAGAGAGATGATTAATGGCTCTGAAGTTGACTCAACACTGTGATAGTCTGGATACTAATGCACAAGGCGACACTGGGTTCATGTTCTCAGGGAAATATGGGCAACATTAAAGTGTCTGAATGCTGTCATGCTTCAAATGAACTGTAAGAAAAGCAAGTTAGTTGGGGTTAGTTGCAGCATCTATGTCAATGTGGTCACAACAATGCAAAGCACATCTCAAAAACAGACTTCCAAATGTTGTCTCTGGTACAACCAAATATAATAAACATATTACAAACTACAAATGCCAGATTTGTAGTTATGAGTCATCAGGTGATTACATTTCAGTTAAATATTTCAAAGTAAAGGTACCATTAAATGTGGGTGGAATATTCATTTTAAAATATATACGTCTTAGAATTAATTCATGAAGAGTCAGGAAGAGTAATGCTGGCTGTGTTGTAAATCTATCATGAAGCACCATTTGCTTTCTGAAGAAAGACATCACAGCGAAGTGCTAATAACAGTGGGATAACATTTTAAGGTTCTTGGTGGTTCCCAAAAAGGGGGGAGGCTTCATGACAAAGGGAGTGAAACTAAAATTGAGTAGAACTTTTTCGGAGGAAACATTTTGACTTGTTTGCTGCTGACAAAGGTCTATGAATCTGATTCATTAGAGAAAGGAGAGATCTGATGCTAGAAAGGCTATCAAGATCCAGCTTAGCTAGATTTTTTCAGCCAGCAAAACGACAGTGTAAAGCACAAGATAGGCAGACTTTTGACAGGGAAATAAGTAAAGTATGCTAATCAACCAAACTCATCAGTCAAACTCAAAGTTTGATGATGCCTATCTTGCTCTCGGTATAACCACATACATAGCAGGAGCACCTTGTGTCTGACAGTAAGGAAAAAGTTTAACTTAAATTTTTAATTTGCTTATCAGAAACATGCAGTTCATGTTTGGGCTTGAGATGCACCAATCCTACTTTTTCTCTCCTGATACTGATTCCAATATCGAGCACCAGTCCAGTGCTCTCCCCCCCCCCCCCCTCCCCCCACCCAGCATAGACACAGATCAGAACCAGAGTGCTGGACAGATAGGAGTGCTATATTTTTTGTTTACAGTTTGCATTGTTCACAATTTCCAGGATCAGTTCCTCCTACAGTTAAATATAGTAGAAAAAAACACAATGAATTCCAATGATCCCCGAGCTGGTATTATTGAAATGGGATGTAATGTATGAAAACAAATTAGTAGGATTGTACTATCCACATATTATTTGAGACTCACCTGAGTTCCTGTTTTAGTCTGTTGAGTTTATCAAAGAGTCTATTATTCTTGACCTGCATGGGAGCGCTCGGTACAAACCAGGCTGCAATGAACTTGCATATGACGACAACGTGCTGCAAGCAGAGAGGAAAATGAATGTTATCTCCTTTTATAGCTGTGAAAATGTGGTTTGATTAATCACACTGCCTGATTTCCTTATAGCCCAGCTCACTGTTCTGAAATCTATCTGTGACAAATTAAACATACAGTGAGTGGGGAGGATTTAGGGGGTTTTATGTTGGGTGCATGGTTTGGTCAAAGCTTACCTCAAACAGAATGACAAATGCAAAGCGCACAGCTAAAATTAGCCAAAACTGTGGGGTAAAATTGTAGTCCTCATTGCTCCTGTAGTCTTTATAGCTGTGAAGGAAAGGAAAACAGACCAGAACACAGATGTCATCTCCACATCAGTATTTTTTTTTTTATGTCAGCACAGGGGAAGATTGTGGGTACCAGCTGCAGTGATGGACAACCATTTTTAAGAAGAATGTAAACTTTATATAGCACTTCTATTACCTGAAAGTTACACAGTCCTCAAAGGAACGGTCACAATGCAATACTACCAGGATAACAGTTGAGTGTGAACATTGAAGTGTTATTAACACTGGTGGTGCTTTTGACTGAAATTCGTTCTCAAATTGTTCAATTTTTTCTCAAATTATATGTTTTGACTTTTGTTTCTCCAAAACCTAACTTAAATGTCAGAATTGTGCCAGTTAAATATCTTTTCAGTTGTGGAAGACAAATAAGATTAAAATAAAACAAACCTGCAGGAAGAGACATTCAAGCCACTATGAGTGACCATCTGATCTGCTGAAAACTCATTGTGTATGTTCTGGTCATCCATTCGTGCAATGGAGAGAGAGTTGTTGATGTAGCCAGCCATGCAGCTTGAAAAACAGAAGGATTTAATTAAAGTGAGTGTTGCACACGACAAAACATAAACATTTTCTAGAAGAAAGCACATTCTCACTCAATATCTGTTACTGTGCCATTGGCACACGGGCCATAGCGGTATTTGTAAACCAATCGAGGGATGAAGTCTGAAGAAACACCGATGACCAGCCCGTTCGCAATGACAGCTAAGACACCAATAGCCTCCAACACGTCTATCCACACACCTGAGGAAAGGAAACATTGGCGTGAGGAGAATTTTACCTGCAGTATAAACAGGCAAACTACAGTTTAACAACTTAAAAAGTTCAAATGTAACCCTCACCAATATCGTTGGTTTTCTTGGGAACCATTCTGCGCTCCAGAGTGACCATTTTAATGGCATCCAAGCGTATTTCAATGATATTATTAATGAGGGCTAGCAGAGGAGCAAGAGGAAATGCTGCCACAAATATGGTGGTAAAGCTGAACTGGATCACTAGGGAGAGATCAAAAAACAATATGATTTGCCATAACCAGTCCAGTATTTGTGTCTAATTATTGTTGTTAAAGCATTAAGCAGAGTTCATACCCATCTCCAGAAACTCATTGAAGAGGCTGAAGGAGTCAACATCATTGAGACGGTAGTTGCTGAGCCAGTCTCGAAGCTTACAGTTATCACACAGTTCAGCGCAGAGTTTTCCCTCTGATTCATCTTTTAGGTAGCAGTGGGCACATTTCCTCTGCAGCTTCTGGGTCCTTTTTCTCTTCAGCCACCTGCAGAGCACACTGATGCAAACAAGAGACAGCTTTTAAAATCCTGGACCCAACGTTAAGTAAAATGAATTATACAGCGCACATGTACAGTGTATAATCACAAATCTGATTTATACTTACGGGCCAGTGAACTCAAAGACATTGCTGATGGTTTGCTTGAGTACCATTATGATTGCCATTTGGATGAACAGGTCTGTGAGACATCCACTAGGATGACACTGTAAAGGGGAGAGTGGCACTTTTTGGATGCAATCAGATTTAATATTCAAATGTAAAATAGCAATTTTTGCTTTAAAATGGTAATTTAGTCATTCTTAATGGGATACACACAGTATTTATGTTACTCACCTCCTCTAGCCTCCATTTCCCTGCAATTCGGACGTAACCACCAGGATGGCCATTTATCCTGTCATGTATGTTACAAAAAAAAAAGTCTTTATTAGTCCGATTAATCGAGCCAATATCTGCCATTTTGAAATAATTGGCATCGGCCGATACCTGTACTCACGAGGCTGATATATATCAACCTAAATGACAGCAAATCTAATCTAAAACCATTATTGGCTAGTGTTAAATATTTAGTTATACTGTAGGGAATAATGTTGCTAAATATTGTCACTTCTGACGAACTGTACCCCACTCTCCCTTAAACACCTGTCACGTTCTAAGATCTACAGCATAACCCAATGCATTTTTTCTATTTCAGTAATTAATAAAAATTCCATCTAAAACAACATGTTACTGGCAAAGATAACCATGTATGTTAGATTGTACTCTGCATGGAATGGCTTTTCTTTGTTTTGATTTCAGCATTTTGTATTGGCCATCGGCTGCACTTGCTCTCTAAATATCGGCATAGACCATTTATAAACCCATATCGCTCGGCCACTACTTACAAGGCCATGAGGTTATGACATCAAGGAGAATAAGGAGAATGATTTCTTTAAGGTTTGATATTAATTTAATTTAACTCATTACCTGCCAAGAAAAAAGGCTACGTAGAAGAGGGAGGAAAAATAGGTGAAGAACTGGAAGGTGAACATCTTGACTGTGAAATTCTTCTCCGTGGCAGCAAACGATCTTGTTTTCTCTGGTGAAGACAGACTTCATGTCAGTGTTCATGCAGTTCACTATTTGGTCAGTTGATGGCACAATTGCACACACTTGAGAGACATCCTACTATAGAATTTCAATTTTCCATCTATTATGTTATTACCTCTATATTACATTTTATTTAAATAATCTGATGCTGATGCACAATATAAAATATATACTTTTGAGTGTTCAAATCTAAAGATTCATTTGGGTAATTTTTAGTGGCCTAAGCAGCCAAACCTCTAGCATTTCACATTAAAATAGTAAACACTCGAATTTCCCCCCATTTTGTTATTTATCTTGAAAACCTTCAGATTTATCTTATGAACCTTCGGCGGTTCTGAGCCCCAGGATGAGAAATTTTGCTCTACATTAGAGGACCAACAGAGTAGATCTTAAAGCAGTGCCCCTCATAACAGCCCATAATTTCATGATGATTCCTGCACATCTTTTTCCTCTTCAACCTCAGACTCAGTCTCTTTCCACTCCTACTGAATGGTTTGTTCTGAAACAGTTTACATCCAGTCATGCCTCGCCTTCCCTCTAGTTGCCCTCAGTGAGTTTCCCTCTTCAGAATACCACCTATTACATGTCTTTACAAGTGCCCCTCGCCTCTCATCTTCCCAATGAGTGTATATGGTGTGCCAGTTACAATGTCCACGTTAAGCCCTGAAAGCTGTGGTTTGTTCATGAACATGATAATTCCTTTATATAATAAAGAAATTGCTGCTATGTATATGTAAATTTGTCCATGGCAGTTTTTAAAAATAGTTTTGGATTTCTACAGCAATTGTTTTTAACATATGAATGCTGATTTGTGGGTTAAAAGTTGGGAATAAGTCTGCAGAAAGGGGTCAAAAGTCCACGAGGCACTTCCACCATGAGGCAATTTCTCAGTGGACATTGGATTGGATCTGTCTGTTATCTGTGTGTCTGACCTGCTTCCTGTCTGATTACCTGCCTTCCTACTTCATCCTCCCTGCATTTGTTTGCCTATTCTCACTGCCCACCACACTGACAACTGTAAAATTCAAATAACTGCTCATTTAACATGTTCTAATGCTGAATTATATTTTAAAAGGAAGATGTTTTAAAGATAACATTTAAATCTTCCTATAAACATGAGCCCACTTGATGTAATACCTAAAAAGGTTTTAATGAAAGTAATGGATTCTGTTGGGCCCCATTTGATCTCTGTTTTTAAACAGCTCCCTATCTACTGGTTGTGTCCCTGATTATTTTAAAACGGCTTGCGTGAACCCGCTTTTAAAGAAACCTGGTTTAGATCCCTCCCTCCCACAACATTTTAATTTCAAAACTGCCTTTTATTGCAAAGATTCTAGAAAGAATTGTGTCCAAACAATTGCTCACTGTACTGGAAAATAACAAATTATTTGAAAAGTTTCAAGAAGTACCACAGCACTGAGACTGTCCTGCTTAAAGTCACCAATGACCTTTTAATGTCTGCTGATGAAGGTCTGTGTTCAGTCCTGGTACTCCTGGACCTTAGTGCTGCTTTTGACACCATTGATCACAACATCATGTTAGACAGACTGAGGCACTGGGTGGTGATCTCTGGTACTGCCTTAGAATGGTTTTCATCCTACCTGTCAAATAGGAAGTTTTGCGTGTCTGTAAACAACTATGTCTCTTTGTTCTGTCCAGTTAATTATGGTGTGCCTCAGGGGTGGGTCTTAGGACCCATTTTGTTTTCCTTGTATCTGCTTCCCCTTGGACATATTATCCATAAACATGGCATTTCTTTTCATATTTATGCTGATGACACACAAATGTACTTGCCGTCAGATCCACAGATCCTGGAATGCTGAGTTCACTTAACAACTGCCTTTGTGAAGTTAAAAAAAGGATGTCAAATAATTTCCTCCAGCTGAACTCAGACAAAACAGAAATCCTGGTCATCGGGTCCCAGCAGTAAATCACATTAAGCCTGTTGCAAAGAACCTTGGTGTCTGGTTTGATAGTAATTTAAATTTCGAGCAGCACACCACAAAGCTTGTTCAATCATGTTTTTATCAACTTAGAAATATAGCAAAAATTCGATCTATCTATTTACTTTTAAGGACACCGAGACCATTTTACACGCCTTCATCTCATCACGCCTGGATTATTGCAACAGCCTTTTCACCTGTTTAACCCAAAAATCTACTGATCGACTCCAGACTGTCCAGAACTCAGCTGCCAGGCTTTTAACCAGAACAAAGAAATATGACCACATCACCCCTATTTTAGCTTAGAATTGACTTTAAAATTTTATTGATCACTTTTAAAGCTCTTCATGGCCTCTCGCCTTGTTATATTTCTGAACTTTTAGTCCCATACGCACCAGCACGTACCTTGAGATCCTCGGGCAGAGGTCTGTTGTCTGTTCCAGAGTCTCGACTGAAAACTAAAGGGGACAGAGCGTTTGCAGTCAGGGCCCGGAACAGCCTGCCCGAGGAAATCAGGTCGGCTGAGTCAGTGAACTCTTTTAAGTCCCTTCTTAAAACATACTTTTATAGGAGAGCCTTTCCCGATCTTATTTGACTTTATTTTATCCCTTTTATTTTATTCTATTTTGCTAATTTTATATGTATCTTAAACATGTATTTTGGTCTTTTCAATGTTTTCTTGCTTGTATTGTTGTCTTTTGGGTATTGTATTGTTGTCTTTGCACTTGTTGAAGCACTTTGTAACTTGTTTTTGAAAAGTGCTCTACAAATAAAGATTATTATTATTATTATTGTTATTATTATTATTCTTATTAGTGTGACTATTTGTTACAATATAAAAATGAAAAACAATGAATAAACATACCTATTTCACAGAGCTTCATGGCTACAATCCTGTTGATCTGCAAAGACAAAGAGATGGTCAGAATGTCTGTGAAGATTCTCAGTCATCCAGATCATAGTTATCCAACGAAGGTTAAAGTCAAGGGCAACTAGACTTGGTTGAAGATACTTCTTCAGTTCTGACTGACTGGTAGGGAAACTCAGCTATTTAACCGCAGTGGAGTGTTTGCCAGGATCGTCAATACCGCTGGTTCGTTGGTGTTCCTGGCTGTTGTAATGGTCAGAATCACAGAGAATAAAAAGCTACAGAGATGCACATTTAGAGACTTGTGTACCCGTGTCATGACAGTGATGATAAGGTAATGGACGACGGCCCCCAGCATCATTGCTCCTATGCTGGAGTGGTTGCTCAGGAACTCCCATGATCCCTCAGCCAAGAGCACTGCAGCAATTACCCTGAACACCACCAAGGCATGTGTCAGGCCAATTATCACCAATATCTGTGGAAATACAAAAACACTTACTTACAGTATGAGGGACTCCATTAACTACATCTTTTTGCTCCTTTAATTCTAACCTCAACTACTGTACATGCCTAAACCTGAATCTTACCCGACTTCAACCTGATTCTTACTTTAATCTGAACTCCAAAGATGTACAATCCCTTTAAATATTATATGTGAAGATTGTAAAAATGACAAGACCCCTACCATAGCTGTGACACAGATCAGAACCAGAGTGCTGCGCAGATAGGAGTGCTTATATTGTTTTGGTTCACAGTTTACGTTGTTCACAATTTCCAGAATCAGTTCCTCCTACAGTTATACATTATAGAAAAGAAAACACAGCCATGAATTCCAGTGATCACTGAACTGGTATTACTGAAATGGGATGAAATGTATGAAACTGATCATACCTCCTCCTCACACCAATCAGACACTTTCCATTCGCACACATAGGAAGCCCGATGTCTCTTCCAGAACTCCAAAAACAGTGTTGCTGTGAAGACCAGGGATTTATATGAGTTCATAAAGTCTACTGGAACAACAATATGACAAATGAGCCACAGTGACAGTTTTTGAAAACACAGATCTACATAGCCACAATAATTGTTGCCACTTTTGGGAAGTTTGGAAGGCAGCTGTGCATTAATCTTTCACTGAATATATGAAAATATTGACATGCCTCCATTTCACGTTTAACAACATTTAAGGAATGTATGCATTGTGCCATATACCCACATTTTAGCTTTTGGTCATAGTATACTGACACATGGCCAGTCATAAAAACTAATTTTAAGAGTTACAAAGATGGGGATTGTGTTGACGTTTTGGGAAGTAAGAAAACTTTGATTATAGTTTGGGTTTGTTGTCTTTTTTTCCAGACAGTGAATGAAAATTTATAGTGTATTACTTTTTGTTTTAAATCAGTATTGTAAAAGGACGTCCATTCAGCTGGCCACATTTTGGCCATACCAACACCAGTGTTCCACTTTTCTGTTCTTAATTCTCTTTCTTTACATCACCTCTCCCTCACACACTTCTGCTGATATACTCATGTTATTACTTTTTTGTAGACCGCAGTGGTTGTTGTAGTAAACTATACTCTTTCAACAGCTGCGCTAATAAATGTCAAAGTAAATTGTTATTTTGCCTGAATCCTTATTCTCTACAAGCTTTGATATGAGGAGAGTTCTGAAAGTGGTCTGTAAACATTTTAAAATCCACAAAGGTGTTAAAAGCAGAAAAGCTGAATAAGGCAATGAGAGTACATTTATATGTTCTTATAGATGACTGCTTGACCACCCCCATGGCCAGATGGCGCGGGCTGATTAAGATGTGAGAAGCCAGGACGAGTAGGTTTTCTCAGTGATGTGGCATCTCCTTGGCAGTACATGTCTCAGTGATTATAAAAACCATCCAAGCAGTTTCATTAAATACATTTGAGGCAGATAAAACAATTGTTTGTACAAGTTGTCCTGTATAGCCAAAAATGTTTGGGCGAATAAATGACAGTACTGTACTAGAGTTCTGCACTCTAATTTTCAATTATTTTTATTAAATTTTACTTTTTGTTTGGGTTTTAATGGCTACATTGCATCTGCAGGAAATATGACTGATAAATCACACTCTTCTATCTTAAACAGGAATACTGAAAAATAGTATTTCTATCAACACAAGAATAATCATGTCATATAGACACACAGAACTCACCCCACACTGCCATGAACATCGCAAAGAGCACTGTGCCATGATTATCGAACAGCAGGCTCACCTGTAAGACAACCCCAGCAGTGAGCACAAACAGACCAAAGTAGGCCATTAAGCAGTCTGCTGTAAATGCACTGATGTACCTTGGCATATGTACAGGTGTCAGAGAGCTGCCACACTTTGCATCTATTGTCACAAAGTGGACACATGACCGTGTCAGCCTCGCAAACCTCCTTTCTGCAACACAATGAGCACTTTATTTAATACAGTGCAAATGTTCTGTTATGACACAGATACTGTGGATCTGTGGAGAAACCTACATGAGAGGCGAGCTGTTGAAGTAGGCAAGGCCGTAAAGGAAGACTATGACCCCAATGATAGCAGGCGGGATAAGCAGATATGTGTACCAGCCCAACCACAGGTAGTACAAGGCCACCTTCTCCCCGAAGTAGTTCCTGACATGAGAACACACACACACACACACACACACAAGGAGAAAATGATGTAACCCATGAGGCACGGATGTGCACTATAATGCCCATACAAAAATGTCATACATACATTGCACATTTGCCACTGGCCATTTTATTAGGTACACCTGTTCAAATTATTGTGGCATGGTTGTTTTGCACCAGACAGGCTGGTCTGAGTATTTCAGAAACTGCTGATCTACTGGGATTTTAACACACAACCATCTTTAGAGTTTAAAGCAAAAAAAAGAAAATATCCAGTGAGCGGCAGTTGTGTGGACAAAAATGCCTTGCTGATGATGTCAGAGGTCAGAGGAGACTGGTCTGAGATGACTCGTTACAACCAACAAGGTATGCAGAAAACCACCTCTGAACGCACAACCTTGAAGCAGATGGGCTACAGCAGCAGAAGACCACACCGGGTGCTACTCCTATTGCCTAAGAACAAGAAACTGAGGCTACAATTCACACAGGCTCACCAAAATTGGACAATAGAGGATTAGAAAAACGTTGCCTGGTCTAATGAGTCTCGATTTCAGCTGCGACATTCAGAAGGTAGGGTCAGAATTTGGCGTAAAAAACATGAAAGTATCAATCCATCCTGCCTTGTATCAACGGTGGTGGTGGTGTAATGATGTGGAGAATATTTTCTTGGCACACTTTAGGCACCTTAGTACCAAATGAGCATTGTTTCTAGTCCTGAACCATCCCTTAGTTATGCTGCTATAGGCCTAGACTGCCGGGGGATTTCCTATGATGCACTGAGCTCCTCTCTCCTCTACTTTCTCTCCCTCTGTATGCAACCTCATCCCATTATCGCATGTTACTACCACAACTTCTCCCCTTTCTGGTAGTCTTGTGCTTTCTCGTCCCTCTCCTCCTATCACTTCCTGCAGGTTTTCTGGCTCTGGAGCTGTGGAGTCTGGATCTGTGGCTGCGGGTCACCTGCTGCCCCCGTGTTCCTGCTCGACACCCTCTGCTGCAACGACTATTGTTACTAGTCCTATTGTTATTATTGTTATTATAATCATTAACATTACGACTGTTACCATTAACACTACTATAAATATCTGTACCATTTTTCATTTAGTCTATAGCAACATCACCTTTACTGTATGTACCACTGTGTGTGTATATTGTGTAGGCTGCCTCCCTCCCCTCTCTCTCTCCTTCCATCCCTCTCTTTTTCTCTCTGTTCCTCTCCTGCCCTCTCTCTCTCTCTCCCTCTCTCTCCTTCACCCCAACCGGTCGAGGCAGATGGCCACCCACCCTGAGCCATGGTTCTGCTCGAGGTTTTCCCTGCCTCTGTCGCCTAGTGCTTGCTCTTGGTGGGAACTGTTGGGCTTCTGTAAATAGCATCATAGAGTACGGTCTCTCAAACTGATTTCTTGAACATGACAATGAGTTCACTGTACTCCAGTGGCCTCCACAGTCACCAGATCTCAATCCAATAGAGCCCCTTTGGGATGTGGTGGAGTGGGAGATTTGCATCATGGATGTGCAGCCAACAAATCTGCAGCAACTGCATGATGCTGTTATGTCAATGTGGACCAAAGACTCTGAGGAATGTTTCCACCACCTTGTTGAAAGTATGCAACCCGGTACTAGTAAGGTGTACCTATTATAGTGGCCAGTGAGTGTATATGAAGATACAATGATATTTGCAACAAATTTCATACAGATTTTGTCCATTATACTTATATTATTTTGCTGTAAATGTACTTCATAATATGTCCATGTTTATAATGTCATACACACAATGTACACGTTGTGCTGCTTAAGGCATATGCTTAAGAACCGTATGTGGTACTAAACCAATATTTGCTAAATTATAGTCAAATTATAATATCTGAGTTATGTTATATAAAGTTTATAAATTGTACATTTTACAACAAAAATTCTAGTATTCTTGATGTATTGTATTACAAAATAAATAAGTAAGTTATGAGGACAACATTTTTACAAAATGCTGAGCAATGCTATATAGTGGATCTTGTCACTATGGTATGCTGATAGGTCTAATGTGGGTGCTATAATAAAAAGCTGAAATTGTATCTCAAAGCTAATATAAATAGACATGTCACACACACACACACACACACACATTTTTTTACTTAAAATTGGAAACATGATGCATGTTTGCATTGCATTCTGCTGTTTGGACTAAATCTAAAGGCAACCACTCGAATCTGTATCAGCATTAAGTACTGTACATCATTTTAAATAATGAGTCCAAACAATGCCTGCACCCTGCGTAGGGAGGTGACATGTTTGCTGTTGTCTTGTTAACACTTGAACCTACTTCACAGGAAAACAATAACGCTGCAATAACTGCACCTGTAAAAAAACAGAGTAATGAATACGCTGTTGCTTTCCAAACCTGACAGCAGTTATGGGTTGCCCTTGGAGACAGGCTGTCCATCGTGCCCAGCTCTCCTTCAGTTCTCTCTGTTTCCTTTTCTGAAAAGAAGAAGCACAAATTTTGAATAAGCTTTGGAAATGTATTTACATTTTAATTTCCTGGCATCCACTTCACCTCCCACAGTGTTATTAAGTAAACAGAAGAACACGCATGTACGTGCTTATATGTACACATATGTATCAATGTATGCTCGTTGCTCACACACATGCCCACTTACTCCCAGCGCTGAATGACTCACTGCATTAATATGAACTGCATAGCATCTCTGTGAAATACTTTTTTTTTGGCAGCAATCTATTGCTTTGGAAGGCCACTGCCAAGTTTCACTTCATACTTTTAGACAAGGAAAAGAAGAGCAAAACACTTTAGCAACCACATGACAAGAAGATATTTATCAGATAATAGTGTCACTATCTTTAACATGAGGATGTGTGGGTGTACATGCAGAAATCAATGGCAGATATTGGTTTTTAACGGTATTATTCACATCTGTCATTAGGAAAATGTTCTCATGCATGACTACTTTACTTGAATCTACTGTTTTCATTCTTTATTCATACAATCTTTAAAGCACACGTTGACTGTTTTAGTCCTTTTAATAGCACAACTATCAGGACAGATATGGTGACAGTATTGCAAGGCTTTTAATGTATGTTAGGATTTTTACCTCATGCAGGCAGAACCTTGCCTCAAAAACATTCATCTTCAAAAGATCCCGCAGACTCTCTGGGAGAATAACAGGTGAGAAGCTTAAGAATAAAGATTAGATGTCTGGTTACCTGAGGAGGGTTATAAACACAGTAAGCCTTTCTCACCTCCTGAATGGATAGGGGTGTGATTTAAGATGAAATGGACAATCCTTATCCTGGAACAAAGAAAGATATCACTTGCAGCAAGAGACACTAAAAACTTCATTAATTCAGTCAAATTTCCATGGAGCCTTTGAAAATGGCCCTTTTAGTAATGATAAAGCTGTGATTAGAGATCATTTAGAATATCGCATTCATGCATTCATCACAATATCACATATTATTATCACAAAATATTAATTGTATTAATATGCTTCAGAGATCTTTTGCATGAGAAAATGCACATTTGTAACATATGGGGCACACAAACAATCCCAGATACTTCAAATAGCATCCTTGTTTGTTTAAAATGTCAACATGTTTTACCTGGTGCTGAGCGGTACAACGTTCTGATCCGAGCTCCAATTACAAGCATCAGACACTTTGAGCAGATATCTGTACTTCTCAAACAATTCTTTGGGCGCTTGAATCCCATAGAAGACGAGCTCTTCATTTATAATTTCCTAACAGGAATAAATTAAAGTTAAATGAATGACTCACATGACCTCTACAACACATGTTCAGCCAGGAGTGATGAAGAAAAGAAAGAATTAAGAGAACTGGTGTTTAATTGAACACTTACTGTGACTTTAAGATTCTTTTTTTTCAGTTCTACAATATATTCAGTTTGCTTCTTGAAAGTCTGTTTGTCCTGTTTATCACTTGTTTTGGCAACCAGGACATAGTCATATGATAGTGGAGTGTGCTGTGTGGAAAAAATGATATGCCAAAGTCAGACTTTCGGACATTAAATGGATGGATCTTAACCTGCAAATTAGTTAGCATGTTGTGATTGTCAACACATTATGCATTCTTACCACAGGAGGAAGTGATGTCTGTTCATTGCCGTTCTCTCTTACCACTCCCATTAATTCCAGTAGTTCTATACTGGGCTACACAAGAAAATATTGATAAGAATAACACAAGGAGAAGTCATCCACACAATTATGGCAAATGTACACACCAATAAGATATGAAACACATGATATACAATGATTTTACCATATGGGATCAACTGGTTTCGTCATCCCACTCATTTGTACTAAAAAAAGCTTGTGAAAATATGCAGAAAGGTTATCATCTACAAAAGAATCCTGTCAAACTGTGACGCGGGGGTGTGTCAATGAATGCCACAGTGCTGAGAATAGACTGTGGTGATCCTGACTCACCTTGGAGGACTGTCAGTGCAGAGGGTTAATCCACCCTGACTGGACAGCATGGCATGTAGATGTGCTCTCACCATTATGCCAACCCATGCTATTCACTCAACAGAGCAGTCTACACATGGTTACATGTAGGCTAACACAGTGGACAGGACGTAGCAACACAATCTCAACGTTATGATACCAGTGTGGTGCAAACATCCCATTCAATCCTAATTCAGATTAAAGCACTGCCATGCAGTCTAGTCTTGATATGTGTAAAGGTGTGTCTCGTACAGCACTGGAATGAGCCTCTGGTGGACCTATTTAGTCTAACAAGTGCAGTATTGGCAGTCATGAAAAAGGCAGCAGGCCTGTGGTAACATAACAGAAGCTGAAAGTAGCTTATGTATCGATAAAATCTCTGTATTAGTAGGTTACGTATGGGTCATTTTCACCTACCTGCCTCCTGTGGACGGGCATGACGAGTAGCTGCTGCATGTAAATTACCGCATTAAAAAAACGCCTCAGTCATTGAATGATCCCACCGGCTCTCGGTCAGCTCACCGATATGCCCGACTAAAGAATGACATGACGGCTCTTGAACAGGCGGTAGGTAGCCTAACTTCCGCACTTCCTCCAGGAACAAACGAAACCTTTTGTTGTTGTATTACTAGGTAAGGAATGTAAAAAAAAGCGACTCTACCTGTTGCTGGTGTCACAACATTTATCTTTGTAGCCACCACCTTTTTTTCTCAGTTCAGTTTCAGTACAGCGATGCGGTCATCAAGCATACATACAAACAAACAAACAAACAAACAAACAAACTGGGTCTACTGTGAGTTTCGGTGGCTGCAGAAGGATAGAGACCATCTCGATGAGGATTGCCAGGTGCATTGGAATGGCATATTTGTGTTGCCTCCTCCTCACCGATGCAAGATAACAAATATCATCCACTAGATGGAAGCAAACGCAGTGATTTTAACTGTATTTTAACATTGGCTGAATCATCCTACACACATCAGACTGTGACATTTGTAAAAACAAAAAACATTGTCACTTGTAGGACTTTGAGTCATAAAATTACAATTTGAAAGCATCTCAAGGTCCCTAATGGAAAGAAAGGATGAGCAGAGTCATTACCATTCACAGCAGAACAGATAAGTCTTGAGGGACCAAACCAACATGAAAAATATACAAAATGTAGAAAATAGATCCAATTATTGTCGATATTAAACTTTAATTTGTTAGCGATAGTTGTTTCCTTGTAGCCATTAAGCTACTATTAATATAGCTGAAATAACCAACTCCAAGCTATCTACAGTAGTCTAACTATAGCTAACTAAATAAACGTATTATTATTATTATTATTATTACATGAATTAAACTCACCTTTTTAGATGTTCAGTGGAGAGAGCTTCATTTATTGAATATGTAAATGGAATTCATATTATTTTATGGAGATTATAGCTCTATAAATTGTTGCTTCAGCTTCTGCTTCTTCTGACAACGGATAAAACAAGTTACAGTAGCCTACCAAAACAAAAGTCAACAATGATAGGCTACAGGTATGTTGACTCAAGATTTATCCTCTGTAATCCTGACCAGACATTTAACAGATTTACACTTAAAGCTTTTACTGGCGGAAGTAACTCTACTTACCGTAAAAGTTCAATTAGGCCTAATAGCTCCGGCTTTTATATGCTTAAATCACTGGCATCACTCTGCCTATATTTGAGACAGATTTCTACATCGGACAACCTTTACCATAACGGTAAATCTGAATGAATTATACCACGGTGCTCCTTGTTTCTAAACGATTGAATTGTGGAGAATCCTACCGATCTAACAATGTGGCGCTTAGAACTAGCTCAAGCAGGTTTTATACATCCAAAGAACGACCAGGCCAGTAAAAGGGACAGGTGTCTAATTGGGACTAGGCTTTTAACTGACGTTTTACTGTACACTTTTGAAGGTAGGCTACTTGAACTTTACCTGAAAATATCCGTTTATATTGTACCGTTTACTCCACAATATAGGCTATTATAGTGTTATATTTATATTATGCATACAGAATAGGCTATGACCAATCCAATAAAATATGATGCAGTGTGACAGATTAAACTACCCAACAGAATATAAAACTGTATTAAATTGTAATCCACCTTATCCACACTGAAATGCTGATAATGCATAAATGGTAGTAATCCATTAATATAATATAAATAGTACCCTCAAAAAAGGTCAATATGTATTGTATAGTGTGACTAGTATATTTTACTAATACTGTTTTACTTAAGATGTTAACATTACATTTAAACATTTGGCAGACGCTTTTATCCAAAGCGACTTACATTTGAGGAACAACATACAAGCATCAACAGAGCGTCAGTCCAGCACAAGATCTACAACTGACAATACATACTAGTAAGTGCAGAAATAAATACTAGTAAGAGCATGTATGGCATCAATTGGGTAAAAAAAATACCTAGGGAAAGAACTAAGAGTTAAAAGTGCAATCAATACAAGAGAATTGTAAGGGGATAGAAGCAGAAGGGCACAGGAAGTGCATGTTACAGGTTAGAGGTGTTATAAGAGAAAGTGTTCTCGGAAGAGATGAGTTTTTAGGAGCTTCTTGAAGTTAGAGAGGGACGCCCCTGCTCTGATGGCATGTGGTAGCGCGTTCTACCATTGTGGTGTCACAGATAAGAACAACCGGGAAATGCAGGATTGTTACCTGGAGTGGTGATGGAGCAGTGGATAGGCTATATGCCTTTGGTGTGAGAGACCCAGTTTCAAATCCACTGTGAGACACCATTGTGTCCCTGAGCAAGACACTTAACCCCTAGTTGCTCCAGAGGCGTGCGACCCCTGACATATATAGCAATTGTAAGTTGCTTTGGATAAACGCGTCAGCTAAATGAGGTGATGTTACCTGTAAGGCGGTTGTTTTTATTAAACTACATTAGAGTCTTGCTGTGTTTAAACATGGCTGAATATTTCCATATTTCTGTAGCTATCTGCTCTGTACTATTTACTCTATACACTTGCCGTTGGAGACATCCATAGGCCTTCTTGATAGGTTATTTGTGAGCTTATGATGTGGGTCTCAAATGTGATTCCCATTGCACAGCCCTGTGGACCTATTTCTGTTTTCCACCCTTTCTCTTTGACTGAAAGAAAAACTAACATGTCAAAACGGGTGGCCCTCCGTGCCTTGTTATTAAAGATGACTTTTACATTAGTCTTGGAAACCTTGGTCAGCAGTGCACACCCAAGAAGACCCACATGTCAAGGAGGAGAGGCGATATGAAGCTGAAGAAAAAGTGGTCGCGAAAATAAGCGGCTGTATTTCTGTCCTCAGCCACACCCCTAAGAGGAGGATAACATAATTACACCGGCACAGGACCATGTAAACCACTTGAAGGGCAACAGAGGGGGCCGCTGCTACTAAATTTGAATGGAGTGGAAGTATAGAGGTGGCTGGGAGGAGCAGGGAAGCTGCTGATAGTCCCAGCAGCAGCATGTCCCACACTACTGGACTCATCAGCCTTATATTTGTGTGCACATTTAGGCCTTTATGCTCAAGGACCTGACTGAGCATACTGTAAAGCTCAGACTTTTCGTCTTTTCAGCAGTATGCAGCATTTTACGATATGTTTATGACATAGCAAAATGTATTTTTGACAATCGGAATCGAAAACAAGGCAGCATCTGTTGCAGGTCAAATTCTGACCTTTGTTGTGGCTCTAAAACGTTCATAGAAAGTTTGGTCTCATCTTGAATTGGAGCATCTGCAGATTAATTCCATACCTGAGGTGTAATGATCCACTAAAGTTAGGCATCATACAAGATGAATAAATACTAGTTTGTGATATTAGTTTCTTCTATATTTACATTGCATTGCATGTGTTCTTATTGTGCAAATAAACCTTTCTAAAAGCATTTTTAACAATACTTGCTGCTTTATTTCAGAACATTTTTACAGATCCTTTCAAAAAGTGATGGGGACCAAATCAGCCATGTCAAAAATTGGTGGGGACATCTCCCCAGCGTCCCCAGAGTGAATGAGGCTTATGCCTCCAGACACATCTGGCAGAGATCATTGGCTGGCTCATGTGGTTGGTTGTGAAGGAGTTCCTGAAAGCTCACTCTGGTCATTTTGCCAAACAAATTGAATGTATATCTACGCAAATAAATTAGCTAAGGGAAATAAGTGACGGAGTATCAGCACCCCAGAAACACAGATCCTTAGCCTTGTAGTCTGCCTTTGGTTAATGTAGCTTCATTTGCATATTAACAAATTATATGAGTTTGACTGCGAATGTTATCACTTTGTCGCATGCAGAGTAATTGCGGCAAGGTAGGATAGTTATTTTTAAGTCAGTGGTTTCAGTCCATCCATTTCGTTTCACTTCCCGATTTTTCAGCCATAAAGTGCAAGGGCGTCACTCCATGTTAAAAATTGGTGGGGCCATAAGTCACAAGACATGATGATGCACAATATTAGGGTCAAGAGAAAGAGAAGCTATTTTAACACTATTTTGAAGAAATAGGCTATTCAATGATGAAATATATGACTGTGGTGGTCTGGGGGTCCTCCCCCAGAAGATTTTTAACATCTAACACTTTATTAGACAATTCAAAATGTAATGCAGTAGTCAGTAGCTTGTTTTATTTAACTTAGCTATATAAAAAAATTGGGGAATGCACATTTATTTCTTCTATATTTACATTGTATTGCATGTTTTCTTATGAAAATAAACCTTTCTCGTAGCATTATCATTTGTTATTTAACTAAACTGTAGACTTTTGGATGCTGTGTCAATTCACCCGCAGCCAGGCTCAGTCAGACTATTGGTTTGTGGTGTGGAGCCACTCCCCTCACGTAGCCTACCTCCCTCACAGCCTCAGTACTGAAGGAGGGCAGCCAACCAAGTAGCTGGTGAGCGTGCCGAGGCGTCTCTGAAGAAGACGACTGTGAAGGAGAACGGCCCGCAGTTCGGGCGTGGAAAGGCTGGACTGGAAATCGTCTGGCTGAGAATATCTTGGTGTACACGAGTGCCGATAAGCACGGCTTGGGTACGTGAGCGAGTCATGCATCGAATAACGGGAAAAGCGGGAGGGGACAGTTTAATTGAGATGAGCCCAACAGAGTCGTTCAATGGTGAGTAAAAGCCGGAGCCAGCCAGTCGGTCTGCCCTCAAGCTGCGGATCTGTACCTTTATTTTTAAAATGTTGCTATGAAGTTAATGTTGATCTTCATTAGTGTTGAGATACCGGCCTACTGGGAAATCAATTAAAGCTAAACTGAGGTGGGAATTCCCCAGTCTGTACGGCCTAAGAAGAACTTTTAAAAACAATCTGAAGTTTAAAGGAATACTAAACAAACTACACTAAACATGCACTTTAAACATTATTCTAGGAATATTGTGTAACGTTATACCTTACACGAATTGAAAGCTTCTCACCAACAACGTAACCATAACATTTCTCGATAGACAACAAAGTTAAACAGCACACTTTTACAACAAACAGCACAGATTTATGCCTCTGGGACAACAACCTGCACCCCTTCAGCTACATACAGGACATTTATCAGTGTAAGTCACATTTCCTCAACTAGGCTATTTAAAGATGTATCCATCCTTCACATTTCCCCTTCGACGCCACAACCAGCTAATAGGCTTTCTTTCCATA